TGCTTGGTGCTGTTGCACCAGTAGCAGCAGTCGTAACGGCCGCGGTACTTGTACTCGGCCTCGGTCAAGCCGAACTTGACCCATGGTGGTGCTGGCTGCCCATTTTCGGCCGGCGATGCTGATTTCGCCTTTCCGTTTACTCGGGGTTTGTTGTTGCTTTGCGGCTGGACAGCAGCCACCTGATCTTCATCACGTGACCCTTGCGTGGCTGCCGGGTCTTCCACAGAGTTGTCCAATTGGACTGCAGCGAACTGCTGCTGCCGCGGACCAGTTCTCACCTTCTCCACATAGGTCGGCTGCCACGTTGACTTCTCGTGTGTGGCTGACCTGTTGGTCTTGATGATCTCCCTTGCCTTATCAATGATCTCAGCGAAGGTGGTGTATTGCTCGCGATCACCAAGTGTCTGGCTCAGTGCAGCACATGACCTGTTGTAGAACTCACGGCGTAGATGCGTGAATGGTAAGTCCAGATCGGGCACTGCCGCGATCTTCTGCCATTCCGTGAGCCAGTCCCATGTTGCTGTGTTGCCCTGAGACATGGTGAAGAGACAGTTGATGGCTAGTGTTGGTGCGTCGTCGACGATGAACCGCTTCTTCCACAACCGTGTTAACTCTTCCCATGTGATCTTGTCCTTCAGATCTGCGACGTCGACGCCGTGGGTGGCTGCCAGGTGAGTTAACCAAATCTGGCATCCGCCCTTTGAGTTCATGAACAGGGCGCCGATGTACGCGTGCTTGGCGACAGGCAGAATCCGCAGTTGTGTTGTGAAAGCTTCCCACCAGAGCACCGGGTCCTGACGCGTGTAGTCGTCAAACTTCTCCAGTTGAAAGGTTGACATCTTGTATTGCTTTGGATTGTTGCCATCCGTGTTCGTCGACTGCAGTTGCTAAAACTCAGTCTTCAAAGTGTCTAGCTGATTGCTGATGGTGGTCGGCGCAGCGAAGGTGCTGATGTCGCCGAGCATTGCGAGGACGTGGTCTACGCGTTGCTCCAATTGGCGGTTAGAGGGTGCACTGCTGGACTCACCAGCATCTGGTCCTGGTACAACTTGCTCCAGGTCCAGTACACGGGAATTGAGTGCCCGTGTAGCATCCTCGTGGCTCTGCACCATCCGACGGAGGTTCACCAACTCCTGGTGCTGTGTCTTCAAATCCTGGTACTGTTGCTGCAGTTCCTGGTTTTGTTTCTCTAACTCGGACTGTTGGTAGTTGCAAGTGTACGACAACCGTGTCACGAGTTTGGAGAGGAACTCGTTATGCTGCTCTTTCGGTGTCGCGTCGTCGCCGTTGACCGGTTCAAAGTGCCAGAACTTGAGTCTGTCGATGCTGGCCGCTTCATGCCGCTGCAGCAGAACCTGGGCCTGCTTGGGGCGTGCCTGGGTGTCTGCATCTGCTTCGGCTTGTAGCCGCTGCTTCTCAGTTGTTGCTGCTGCTTCAGCTTGTAGGCGGGCAGCCTCGGCTGCCAGCTGGCGCTGTTCCTCAGCCTCGATAAGAGCGATCTGAGCCTGGAAACGCTGTTTGTAGTCGACAAGAGACTCCTTGGCCAGTTGGCCTTGCATGCCTGGAGCTGCGCCCGTCATGGTGGCGGGGCGCTGGTGACGTGGCACTGTTGCTTACGTGCCACTGCTAACGTGGCACTGTTGCTTACGTGGCACTGTTGACGTGTCACTGTACCAACTCGGAAATGCATTCAAAGGGTGGGTGGGAGGGAAAACGTAGTTAGGCAACCAACCCAATAATACTTTCCTCCAGCCCTAATCAACAGATAAAATAAAATAAAAAATAAAAGAGGACTACTGCCTTTTTTTTTTCTTTTTTTTTTGTATATCTGTCGGTCTATTATAAGTGGGACATGTCAGAAGAGTACTATGAACAAGATCTAGGCTAGGTTCCGCAAAGTTTCGGCTTTCACAAAATGCGATCTTGAAAATTTTTTTTTGCGAAATGGAGTAAAGATGCGATTTTAAAAAAAGAACGAAATCCAGTTTCTGAGAATATGGCAACCTCCGAATATGCGTATCAAAATGTCGGTAGGCTTCGCAAGATTTCGGTTTCCAAAAAAAAATTTGCGAGATAGAATGAAAATTCGATTTTCAGAAAAGAATAATTTCAGTTTTCGAGAATATGACCACTTCTATCGTTATCCCAATATGCCTAGAGAACGAAATACTAACATAAAAAATTTCAGCTATGTATGCGAAATATCAGAGAAACGAAACGCTACTATCGGGAATTTTCAGACAAAACGAAATGTGATTTATCAGAAATTTTCAGATATTTGTTACGTAAAAACGAAATACCAATATCATAAATTTTCAAGTAAAACGAAATGTGAATATCAGAAGTTTTCAGATAGTTGTTGCGCAAAAACAAATTTCAGAGATTTGACGAAGTCCTACTTGATTTACTAATGAGTGATCAATAGATCAAGCAAGCGAGCTACTTGATTGAGCGGGTCCTCTGAATGAGAGGTCCACTCCGATACCAAACTGTTGCATACTGTTACTGTGCAGACCAGAACAAGAACCGACCTCTCAATACAAAGCACAAGATGGCGTAGCAGAAGACTTAGATACCAATGATCCGAACAATCAATATT